ATTAAGGGCAAAATATTCGCTTTGCCAGTGGTCTGCAAGATCATGTACTCGTATGTCTGTCGGCGAAGAAGTCATGAGAAACTCACGGGATTGTGACATGGTGTTGATGTCGAGTCTCAGACAACTTGAACTGCACCCTACATTTGTCAAATGACACTGTCCTTCCCTTCCAGCTTTTGGATACACGGCTAACGACAATTTGTAAGATCCCCAACCTCGGCTCCGGTAATCCCGTCACAACCGTCCAGCAATTTCGTGGTGGGACTTCCCCGTTCAAATAACTGTTGATCTATAGCAATGCATTCTTGGCACCCTCGTAGCTTCTTCCTTATGGGATTTAGTTACTCTATTATCGCGGTAGTTATCAAATTCCCCGATCGAAATAAAGATTGCTTGCCCACCTTCCTGAATGATCATATCTTTGCTGTTGTTTAACTCCTACTTTTTAACTTGATTCATAAAAATTTTGTTTGTGGTTAATTTCTTTTCCTCTACGATAGCTCAGAAACTCTGTGTGCGCACTATATGCAAGCGGGGGTGAAGGATATCATCACGGTATCGTGAAATGGTTTCTACGATGGCCTTTAAAGCACTTTGTTTATGAATAGATAAAGATTAAAAGAAGAAGAAGTAGCCTTGTTTGTGGTAATGTTCCATTTTACATGTAACCGACTCCATTTGTGCCAAATGCCAAGAGAACGAGGTGGGAACAATTGCATCACTTTACACTTATTAATCTGGCAAGGAATGACTTCATTTTTTTTCCGCAGAACTTTTTTTACCCCAAATGTAGCAGCAACTTTGGCATTCATGTTATTACTTAGATTGGTGCTTGACGGAAGGAATAATAAATATGCAGGTATCACAAATTTCATTTTCTTGGTGGTCTCATTCTTTTGTTGACGTTTGAAACAATTGTTAAAAATGTCTTTTTTCCGAGTTCTAATTCTCCTAGAGTTATGACCATTTCATTAGTATTTTATTGAAAATTCAGTATGTCACAGATTCTAACCATCCATTGCAAAATTCTTCAAATTGTACAAGAAAAGCAAAACAAATGCGACAATAACGCCGACGTAAGTATTCGCTATTTGCCCCGAGCGCGGAGGGTAAAAGCCTATTGTAATGGAGACTGGGGGCGCGCTTTACAAACACCAAAAAGGTTTTCAGTACAGAAGCCCTTATTCTGACTGCGAAAAGAACTGGGCAATCTCGTTGTTAATTAACAAGTGCCTTTAGACTTTGGCCATTGCGAAATAGACATACGGGAACCCAGCAACGGATACCAAACAGCAGGGCGACGTTCAAAATAACTGTTAGATAGACAATAGGTAATGACGGACATGGTCAGCGAGAATTTACAAATTTCGGAAAATTTACGGCATAGTTTTTTAAATTATCAAACTTGCGGAAACATGCAGAATTGTTCAATCTGTTTTAATAAAACTTATCCTCTGGACATAACTTATTACTTAATTACCTGGGCGAATATTGCCGATTGGGAACTCAGTGGCAACGCAAAATTTAGGATTTCCTGACACCGCGTCAATATAGTGTTACCGCGATAACATAGGGACTGAGTAGGCTTTAACTGTACTGCTGGGATATTTTGTGAATGTAGACCCATTTGATAACCCTATGACTATTTACAATCCCTTCAGTGGTGCATCAAAAGAGACAGTTTTCAGGATCAAGAAACGAGATAATTAATCGTTCTGGGCCAAGTTAGCGTAACGTAAAAGAACAAACTTGTCATCTCTATCGCTAAGATTTATGACTTGTGACCGCCCTCTATCGGTGAATAATTTCGCGTAATGCCAGGCCGGTTACGGTTGTGCGCAAAGAGAGCAGCGGCGGAAGATGGAGAACTCTACCAAAATGGTGTTTTCACCATCGAGGGCGCCATTTGAGTGTGTATGTTAATGCACAGGAACGCAGGCATAACAGGTGTGCGTGTCTGTCGCGGCGCCTGGGCCTGTTGCATTAACATGCACTGCCGCATTCCTACCGAAATGGCGCCAATGCGATTACGTTTCACGCGTATTAACAGTGAAGTTTTCCACCTTGCGCCGATACAATCTTTGGTTGAGCGCAGGCTGAACCACATGCGTTTATGTTTGTGGCTGATGAACCGTGCACACGTAACACGAACGCTCTCCGCAGGAAGTAGACTACGTCCGTTATCCAGTCTTTATCATTGCTCATGTACAGGGAATTTAGTTGCAAAATTTCCAGCCATAGAATTCATTGTTGGTTTGTAAAAAATCTCTGTGTACATGTACTTAATCGGCTCCACATTGTAGTTTCAACCTTTGAATCAAAAGATGGCAGGACCAAAGAGCAAAAACGTGAATATCACAATCATACAAGCCAAGTTGTATTTTGAGAGCACATGCGTTCAGATACGGGCAATGTCAGCGCGTTATGCGCTGGGCGCAGTGAATCATGGTGCGATTACACGCGCTGTATAGTTTTCACAGTTAGACTGGCGGGCTGTGCGTTTATATGTCTGTGATCCAGCCATCCCGAAATGAAAGGCACCCTCAACGGCAAAGAAGAGATGAACTGGTGGGAGGATTTCCGAAGTGGTTGTTCGTTGCTCAGGCCCGGCGGCATCACGGGATACACGTTAAGATCGAGTACGCTCAGCGCGTCCTATGCCGAACGCGCACAAGCCCCGGCGAGCGCGCAGTGAGTCCAAAACACAAACAGAAATAAATGCAGGACTGCCGCTGCAGCCGTGAACTTCAACAGGCCATCTCTCGCTCCGCTTGGAGTTGGACAATAACTTTGATTCTTTTCTCATTTGTAATTGAACCACTGCTCCTGATGCTCTGTGGCAAACTAATTGCTTGCTGTGACGTCGGTGCTGGAAGAACAAAAACTAGGACACCCCACACGGCAGAAATCATCGAAGCCCTGTACACGCATAGCGACCCATTTTTTAACTCGGTCACACGGACGTTCTTCGAAGTTCCGGTTTCCCAGAAAAACAAAACCAAACCGGGGCTAGGGATCATTTCCGGTTTTCTCAAGAGCATTCATCCATTTAACGTGGTTTCACTGGAGCATATGTGAATCACTGAAACAGAGCTTCAGTACACTAAGAACCCCCCCAAGGGCAATCAAGACAAGGCAAATAAAGCAAACTAAACAAAAACAAACAAAACCGATAACAATTATACAAATGCATGTACTTGTTTCACGCACGCAGTGGAGACATTCCTTTATTCACCTGTGGTTAAGGAAACTCGGAAAAAGGTGCTCTCCTATCTTTCTCGCATTAGGATAATTCCTTCGAGCTGGATTTTTAATGATGGTTTCCTGAACTATATTCCTCTCGGAAAAAGGTGCTCTCCTATCTTTCTCGCATTAGGATAATTCCTTCGAGCTGGATTTTTAATGATGGTTTCCTGAACTATATTCCTCTCGGAAAAAGGTGCTCTCCTATCTTTCTCGCATTAGGATAATTCCTTCGAGCTGGATTTTTAATGATGGTTTCCTGAACTGTATTCCTCTCTCTCTCTTTTTAACACGGACAACCCTCACCACCCCTTGCCTCTGAACTGAGTTTTTCAAAGCGGGAAAAAATTGCATTCTGCGAGTCCACATCACATCTTCTAATCCTACATTAAGTAGACTTGTTGCTGAGGTTCACGTTATGCATGCCTCGCTTGTGGAACACAACACACACTCACCCACAGACATCCCCAAATACCACACGAAGATGTGCATTCCGAACTGGGGCCAACTTCAAAATAGAAAATAATTTCAAACGACGAACTAACACGCTTCCGGTAGTAGATGATGGCGCCCTCTATCTGTACCTGCTGTCTTGCGAGAAAACGCCACAGTAGTTCAATCACCCGTGTGTATATAGGCCCCACGGTTTGCTGATCTCGTCAAAAAATGTGTCTCAAAATGAAATCTCATCCGGGTACTGTGCTGCGGCTCATCGTCGATTGGAGGATGGAGCAACAACCGAGACACCAGAAATCAACACGCGTGCGTAATAAACTGCAGACTATGCTATAGTTTTGACAAAACGCTTGGTGCCCGACATATGGCGGGTTCCACGAAAAAAGACGACTGTTTTTCCACTTAGGTTGTCCGACCATTTGGAGCTATTAAAAATTGAAAATCAGCATGGTGAGTTCGCTCTTGGGCTGAGGCGGAGTTTTTGTTTAGTTTGGAGAGACCATATAATAGGATTTGAATGAAACTGGTGAAATGCTGAAATGCACGTATAAACACATCCCAAGAAAACTGACACTTGTCTACATTGCAACGTAACACGAGGGTCCACCGTCCCATAGCACACTCACAACACTACAATTACAGTGCACTGTCACTACACTACAACAAACAAAACAAAACCTATTCTTGGTCAGTTGCCAAACAGGAGATCACTGATATGAAAAAACTCCACTTTCTGTTCTTTCAGGATATCCTTTCAGAAACCTCGGTTTCTGCGGGACGCATCCAGGATTTCATGCCCGTGGGATCGAAGTTCGGGTCGGGCCTCCAATTACTCCCTTTGTAATAATTCCAGTAGTGAAGGTAAAGGGAATAATTATAGCCTAATGGTGGTGTTTGGAGTGCTGCTAAAACCGTATCCCTCGTAGACCTATCATATACACGTAAGCCTCAGGCGACTTTGACAGAAAAAAGAAAGAATGTTCCACCTTTTAGTGCTATAATGAAATCGTAACCACATGCAGCTGTAGAAGGAAATGGTGTCTTATAATCTGCGTGCAAGACTGAACAAGCATTAAGCGGGTCACTACAATTCCTTGCAACTTTCTAATATGACGCAATCACACGCACGGGCTAATTCATGCATCCATGGGTAACCACACAAATCAGCTCGCCAAAACATGTGAGACAATCTTTGTTAATACAATCAACTTCGGCTTGAAACGTCATCTGCTTGCCTATTCACTGAAATTTTTAATACAGCGCACCTTCCACGTGAATGCTATAACACTTTACTGCGCTCTTACTTGTAGCGTCGTTACTCTTATTGTAGTGAGGCTACCTATTTTAGAATGGAACGCGCTAGAAATTCTCAATGAAGTTCAGCGGCAACAACGTAAACACAAGGCCGGCATTTTTACTACGATAGTACAATACAATCGAGTTTCGCGCCAGAAGCTGACCGGCTTGCCATACTTCGCGTATTCCTGACAATCTTCGCTCATTTTTGGTACTTTGCGTGTCACAAAAAGAAGAAACCGACTGCAGTCTTCAAGGGGATCAGCAGAATTTTCCAACAGCAAACACATCGCAAATGCCGGTAGGTTTTTGTTTTGTTTCCTATTTTCTATGGGCCGGGCCGTACTGTAATGTTTTGTTATGCGTCGCCACATCAGAGGAATGCTTCTGTATACAAATTGGGTGTGACGGTAGAGGTTGTCACAGCGGGCCGGGCCTACTGTGATCTCTGATTTATTCTAAATGTTAAGCACCTCCAAAACCTCCCTCCCCAGACAAAATTTATATTTATATATAATAAAACTGAAACGAAGATACAAAAGAGAGTGACCGGTGTAAATGTGTTTCTGGCAAACTATTCACCCCATTTTCATGTTCGCAGCAATAACCGTGACTTGGGCTCGTTTGATAAATCTTCCGCCCCGATGTTGAACGATAACAGAACGTAGACGGGTTCGGTTATGTGGGAATAATGCCCATTACTTTTTCCTCCTCGTTCTTTAGGTAAGGCGAACAACCAGGCTGAAATAGCATAATTTTGTGGCCAAAACACGTGGGTGTGTGATCGACTAGCCGGTGAGGACACAGCCGCTGCAATCAGCATGGACCGGCTCATCACAGTGAGCAAACGATCCTCACTGATGGCACTCGTTCATATATTTTTGATCAGTTTTGCAACGTTAAGCAGAGGTAGGTGCCTGTGATACTTTGAATTTATTTAAAGCCCCTGTATTTTTTGTTCTTTTCCAACCTGATTTGATCTGTTATCAAATGGATCGTTTCTGTTTTGCATTCTCACTATTGCAATGTAAGCCATGATAATATACTATCCCCTAAGCTATGAGCCTATATAATTTACACGTGCATATGAAACGTGGATTTTAAAAGACGTCCACTTACATTTTTGCTGGAAGCATAATTTAATGTTTACCGTTATAACAAGAGAAAAGAATATCACAGACTGTCTGGAAGTCAAAATAATATCCATGGTATTGGTATGCCTTGCTTCCAATCAAAATAATCCGCCGTCACAACAAACCATCATTATAATATATGTAACATCCTGGGGTATGTGTGCCCCTGTTCCCACCCACGCATGACGTCTGTAATAAACGAAACACTCATTAATATTTCCCTTCGGGGTGCGCGGCCACACACAGTCACAGTCACAAAGATCAGCCAGAGCCAAGTTCCCACCGCAGGACTGAGAGCAGCCGGCGCATGCATGATCGTACCGCAGACTACGGCGCGCTTGCATCATCTTTTTTTTTTTTTTGGGTGCATCCATTTGGTCTTCGGGAGGAATGCTTCACGCTGGCTGTAATGCACACACCCTTCAAATGTACTACGCCTGTAGATTCTTGCTTGTCATGAAATGAGAAGCATGTAACAACAACGTACACTACATTGTACATTATTTTCCCACAGTTGACTCGAATAAAATATGCTTTTTATGAAATATCGAGTAGCCTGGAATAAGCAACTGTTTGTAAACAAACCCCAGCGACAAAATGTCCCCATTTCTCAAGGACCAATAACAAAGCGCGTTTCATCGCGCTTGAAGAGTTTCGACCGCTGGGAGCGCAGTCATTAACCTGTTCTCCAGGATGGTCCCTATACGGTCGATGCTTGATCAAAGTTGTAGATGGATACCAGTTTAATATTTTGGAACAACGCCTTAAGTAACTCAATACCACAAATAAATTGTTTAATGAGAAGAAATCGAAGCAAAACTAAAACCAAAAGTGATTTTATATTATTTATTTTGAGAATTACTGCCTCGGACAAGCCGAACTTAAGAGTTGTTTTGTTTCTAAAACAGCTATAATCTTCTAAGTTTCTAATAAAGCTGCTGTCTTTGAATTAAAATAAAATACACAGTTTTGTTTAAAATCCACATCACACAACAGAATGCGGACTTTGCGTGAATTCAGTCATCCGAAAAATTCAGTCATTCAGAAAATCTGTAGTCATGCCGTGAGGAAGATTTCGGTTGCTGTAACAGTCGTTTAACTAACACAGCAGAAACAGACGCGTCTCTGTTTGCCTCACAACAGGGACTTTTTACAATAACAGTGCATTTTGCTAGCGTGCCACCGAATGGTCAACGAAACCGGCCGAGACTGCAGCACTTTTATCCGTCATTTGTGTTTGAAAACATAATGCAGTACATGTAACTTGCAAGGGCCTCAATGGTCTTGCTCTCGTCGCCTATTGCTATATTTTTGGTTTTAGTTCGTTTCGTTTTTTAGGATTTAAATGCCATCATACACCACCTACCGAAATTCTCCGTTTTAAAATTTTTTTTTTTAAGTTTTTTGTGTATTTGATTATTCAAAGCATATATTTTGCTTCATGTAAAGGAGAGATCTCAAATGACGTTCATGGGTTAGGATTTACTAATTGTAGCTGTTCACAACTGAAATTCGGTAATCAGAATTCCGCAACGATCAATACATCTACGTCAAACGTTGTTTTCGCATTTGAAATAGAAATCAGATCAATGTTACCCTTGGCACTGCAACGGTTCGCAGCCTTTTTTCAAAGAAGGTTTTGTATAAGCCCAACAGCTGTGCACAAAACATTTCCAATGACGGTCTGATATTGTGCCGCTTAATTTTTAAATGTAAGAACCAGTCAAATTATTCTTGCATCCGGTGACCTTATCAAATACACAAAAATGGAAGCCATACATGTACGTCATTTTTTTTCACGTCTGCCAACATAGTCTGGTATTCCCGACATATAAGCTTTCCCAGCCCCTTCATAATCAATAGCTGAACTTTCCCCGGTCCTATTAATATAAGTGAAAACAAGACAAAAGCAATAAAAAGAAGCAAAAAAAAAAAAAAACCAGAACAAAAAGAAACACATCTAGCAGAGACCATGCCAAAAGAAACAACCTCAAACACCAAACAAAGAGAAACATTTCCATTGATGTTATTTGATAATACCAAGTGGAAGTAATTTTGTGCAGACTCTATTTTTTTTCCAATTTATCCTTATAAATTAGTTCTTTTCCATTGCTACCTAGTTCTCTCTCAGACATCTTTCGCAGTTGTGACTGAATGTTTTCGTTTTCATTAAGTCGGTTTTAATTCAGTAAGCCGAGCATCCCATTATTAATGCCTGACTTTTGATCATTCATACATTATTCGATTACAAACGATAATAATTATGTCCATTTACTTCTCCAACAACCCCAGGGGCTGATGTAGCATCCCAGTGTGTTGCAGGCACCTACATGAAGTCGTCTTACCCCGAGGAGGGCCACCGTTGCGTTTCAGACTGTGGCCCCGGGTTGTACGGTGACGACTCGAGTAAATCTTGCCAGCCGTGCGCAGCCTTCTGCTACACCTGCGAAGTGGCCCCTGACAACTGCACGAGTTGCTCCAATCCGCGTTTTCTCCGTGGGAACAGGTGCGTATTTGTTTGCCCTTGCTTTCTTTATCACTTTCACAAAGTCGAAATTCCACACACGCGACTGGGGTTCAAATCCAACCAAGACAGATGGATTAGAGGAACTCCCCAGTATAGCGTGTCTTCGGAATCCCATATAGGATTGTCACCCTATACTTGTCGAATGGAACTTTTTTTCACCATTTTGTCTCGCAATGTTTTTCCCATTAGGCTTCATCTGCATTGCCTACATTTTGTGTGATTTCCATAAATAATTACGATTTCCCCCAAGTCGATATTCAGCTAACTCAGTGAATGCTGTATACAACGAGAATGGCAATATTCTAGGATCTCGATTTCAAATCATTAAAGTTGCTAAGGGATGTTTTGAATAAAACATGACTTAGTCAATGAAATAATCTTATTCAATGTAACCTGCTAAATGGGTCGGTGCCAGACTATTTCGGTGTTATGCCTAACTTTCATTCTTTACATGTTGCTTTAAACATAAAGATATAACAAATCATTTATTTTAAATAATGCACCATCGCAACTGAGATTAATCTGTAATTAATTTTTACTTCCTTTGCTTTCATTTCTATTTTTAATTTCCCAAAATAAAAAGAAATAATATGGCTGACGTGAAAACTGTCAATTGCCTCCGAACTATTGTTCGTTTCTGACCAGATGCAGCTGCGCGATGTCGAACACCAGTCTTAACCGACGAATTAGCAACCGTGCGAGCGCGTGCACCCTTTCAATCCTTGCGCGCTTTGCCGAGTAGACTGTGTTCAAGGGGAAGCCATGTTTGATCGTAATCCCCGAATCTATCATATTCAATGTAATCTGTGAAATGGGGTGGTACCAGACTCTTTGGGTTCCAAACCTCATTTTTTTAAATGTGGCATAAAACATTTAGATATAGTTTATCACAAACTTGAATCATTCCAAACAGAAACTGGCATGAATTTGTATCAAACTTTTATTTCGTCGTTGTTATTTTTATTCTTGGGTTCCCAAAAGGAAAGGCTTTACCTCACTTTCAATTCATCATGGCCGACACATGAATAGTCTAGGAACTGCTCGCGGCAATTTGTAATTCGTGTCTTTATACATGTACATATCGTTGGAAATGGCCGCCTTTCACTGTTTTCTTCAAAATAACGGCTTGCCAGACAGAATTATTTCACATTCCCATAACTATTTTTAGACTCCCTGTTGCTTTAACAATTATTTTGTCAGTCACTTTTTGGATGGCTGCAAATGATCGAATGTACCTTTAATAAAGTAGGCCTATCTTCTCTTAACCCTGTTTTCGTGGAAGTTGCAGCCTAAACACCGCTACGTTCGCTTTTCCTTGTGACACACACTACACGAAGATGCACTGATGGTTAATTTTCGAGAATGAATTCGCGATTGCCAATAATACCTGCAACATGCCTCTACACCTGTACATGTATAGCTTAGAATGCATGAAGTTTATGCATGTGCACCGTCCAGGGAGTGGGCGGCGCAATAGATCGATTGCACCCGCTACGTCACGTGACTTTAGCGGCCATCAAACATCAACAAACATGGCGTCCTCCTATTGCAAAGTGTGTCAATAACAACGGCGACGGTCACTACAATACAGAGACTGATGGTGTGCTAAGTATAGGCTACTATATATTTTTAAAAAATCAGCTTGATATTAACAACACTTAAAACACGCTTTGCCATGGGGCGTGTTGATAATATACCCACTACAGGTCATGTGACTTCGCGGGCGCAATCGGTCTGCTGAGGGCAATGAGTGAACGGCTCTTTAGGTGCGGAGCTTAACATTTCTCCTGCAGACATACAGAATGGACAGCTTGGACTTTATTGAATACACCCCCCCCCCAAAAAAAACCGAACACTCTAAACTATGGATGCCTTGAAACATCCCGAGCATTAATTAACAGACCTAACACATAATGACGTCACTCTTTGTTTACGCGTGCGCTTTCCCATGGGAGCTCGACGGGTCTCACCCTGCCCCATTGCTATAGGAAACTTCACATGTAAACAAAGCGAATAAAAGTCTAGTATACCGACATATAAAGACCAGTTTATGTTGCTTCCACAACGAATAATGTCGTAGGATAGTGAATTTCCTCAATCCCCTCTGCAATGCAGATGTGGCCAGCTGGTGAAGTAATAAATCACACACTTCAAGAAAATGTCATCGCTTTAAAAATGAAAATAGGAAAGCACCTGTGTGTGTATTCTCCAGTCTCTTCTGTTGGTGTTGAATGATATTTGAATAAATCTTCCTGAAAGTTACTCAGAGGAGTAAAATTACCCAAGTACAACCGCCGTGAGACGCCGTGAACAGAGCAAAAACAGCGAACAAGCACACACAGCCCACAAAACTTACACCGTGGCCTGCATTTTCGGATAGTTGATTGCAGTTGAACACAAACTGGAGGTATTTGTCAATCAAGCTCAGATTGTGACGCTAATTTGGAAACTTATACACCTAATTAAAGAAAGACATCGGAAAGACATCGGGATGCAGAAAGTAATAAGCAATCTGCAGTGATACCGAAACAAGTTCTGATGACATGCCACACAGTGTCATCACCGTTTTGTTTACACTCTTATTCGAAAATCTGGCTGGCACGGTTAATGATTTGTATTAGAGACAATGAGACATATCGAAGTAGAAACTAGCAGTGCATATCCTGAAAAAAATATAATAAATAAAACAAATAAACAAGCAACAGGACTCTACAATACTATCGACAAAAATACAATGACATCTCTTTATGTCGTGCCACAAAATAATTGTTTGCTAACACCCCTATTGAAAACGAAAGCTGGAGGGGAACAGGGGAAGTCCATATTTTCGTGAAAATCCAACACACGTGTTTGAATCTCCAAGTAGGGAGGTAGCGAGAAGGTCAGACCGTTGAAGCTCTGTCCTTTCCTGTACTTTACGTCAGATCTTCTGTGGAATTTACAAGATTAAAGCTCTCTTGGATATCAAAGCAAGGGATGGTTTTCTTCGTATGATAATCTGTATTTTGTCGCCAAATATTGCGCTCATGGCCGTCTCGGTTACGATACGGAGACAGCGCCGTAGACGAGCAATGCGTGGGAGGACTTTGGTTTTCAAGCTCGCTATCTTGCTGCTGATGGCAAGTGCGTTTTTGCACGTGGGCCACCTTTTCTAGTGTGCAACATACGCAATAATTGTGCCAGTGCGTCTATAAGATAAGAGGTTATGGGCGGAACCAGCGTTTCATTAATTGCTTAGGGCAGAGTATAATGTGTCTGGGTGGTGGGACAGATGTGACGTTCTTACAACGGCACGTGATCCGGCCCACCTCCTCGTGATCATAACGTCACGGAGAAATCTCCGGTTAACGTTTTCCTTCGAATTATGCACACTGTACCGCAGCCAGACAGTCGAGAGTGACGTCACTGCCGTCCCCGACGGATGGAATTACCATCCTCGCGCCGTCTTAGAAAAGATGCCATTACACCGACCATGAGTTAGCTGAAGGCATCATCATTTCGACTGTAATTTACATGCATCTGAATACGGAAAAGCGTGCAAAGTGGCTTCGACATTTTGGACTCGCGATTTGCAGATCGCGGTTTCTGTCGTAGGAATTCATTTATTTTTCTTTTTTTTGATAGTCATTTTGATTGTCATTTGACAGTTCCGGTTGTGTTAGAATGCGGGTATATTTCCTTACGATATTCTAAGGTTTGGGGACGAAAGAGGGGGAAATCCCTGGCATATTTGAAGCAGGAACAAAAAAATTACAAAAGCACTGTAAAACATCATGATCTTTATTGATCTCAGGTGATTTCCCATCAATGAGATGCTGTCGAAATTTTGCATATTTAATTCCATCGACGGAAGAAACTTTCGGCTTCCAGGGAAAAAATATTGCGCTCAGAAAATATAACAGGCGTCACTGTGAAGCCTAATCGACATATCTATATTTATCACCCATTTCTTTTGGTTATTTTACAAAATGTTGACACTTCCCTCACACTCTTACTTAAGGCAAACTGTCAAATCTAAACAATCTCAAATTCAGAACAAGTAGATGTAGTTAAAACAGAGTCTACATATTATTATACATTTAATATAAAAATCATAATTTATATGTATAATATAAAAAAATCATAATTTGTATGTTTAATATAAAAATCCATAATTTCAAAGTACAAACGATATGCACGCAAAATTAAAAATACAATTGACTATAATGTAAAATATCAAAAGTGAACCAGTTCTAAACCATATTATGATTAAATACAAGGAAAAAACTGAAATATATATTTATTGCATAAAGTTATATTAAATTCGTCTTACAAAAGAAAGTAAAAGAAACTATTTAGTACGGTATAGTGACGCAATTTTCTGAACATTGCTGAACAGTCTGCCGGTTAGTTCTGACGCACGCGTACAGGAAAGCAAGAACAGAAATACGAAAATAATAAGTGCGATTGTTTCTTCTGAAATGCTATAGATGTGTAATGGATTGTGGGAATATGTTCTCTCGGGGACCTGCGCGGACCAGGCTTAGGCTACGGGGAGGCAGCGACGCGTTTGAAGGCAGGGTGGAGATCCTACACGAGGGGGTGTGGGGATCGATATGCGATGACAGTTGGGACATACACGATGCACAGGTTGTGTGCAGTGAACTTCAGCTTGGTGAGTGATGAAAAAGCAACCCGTCATTCCTCGCTCCTTCGGTCATCGCTATCGGCCTACGCCTTAATAATTCGTCCATCTCGTCCAATTTGCCTTGTTTTCATGATGACTTTTCCCAGTCCTAGCCTCCATTTACCTCTCAATAGACGGCATTTGCATGTCTTCCACCTTTATTTGAACTTACCGATCTATTTATCCCCCGAAAATGAAAAAAAAAATGGTCAGTTGCAACTTGCTGAAGAGATCGTCGATCCCACATTCCAGTTTTGAGTCCGTCGTTTGTGCATTTTGTATCCACGAAGTTAAATTTCGGATTGTGTAGTAGGATGATGCTGTGCACTGCGGCAGTTTCAACTTAGCAGCACAAGATTAAAAGTGACTGAGCGATGACGGAAGTTAGTCATAGTTTTTTAACCTACCTAGCTGCATGAGCTGCGTATGACTCAGTTTTCAACTTGACATATCTTCAGGTAACGCGGTTGAGGCGCTCAGCGTTGCCAACCGGTCTTTCGACGGGGCATCATCGCGCATGCCCATTCACCTTGATGACCTGGAGTGCCTCGGGACGGAGTCCAAGTTAGAGTTTTGTCCTAATCTTCAGTGGGGGAGACACAACTGCGCCCATTACGAAGATGCAGGTATGAGGTTACCCGCCACGGCTAATTATGCACGGTCGGTGATGCTCGCGTTATTTCTAATGAGCCAGTTAGTTTTTACATCCGAAAGTTTTAAACTAGGGACAAGACGATTTAGAGTGAAAATCAATCTCAATTTAGATTGACATACTCTGACAAAATAATCACTGCAGTCGGAGGTCAAGTGAAAACTGGATCCTTTCGATTGAAGAAATTTCACACTAAAATTTTAACGTCTGGTCCCTAGTTTCCGACTTTTGGGAGTGAATTTTCACTCAAAACAATAAAGATACTTAAAAAACGGGCCATGTTTATGAAGCTGTTTATCGACACACACTCGTCAACAGCTCCCTTTCAAACATATTACCAGCAGCAAGCTACTGATCAAAGGAAAGTATTTCTTTTCATGCGATAGGCTTATTTAAATCAAATCGTTCCGTTTTCTTTATACAGGCGTAACACATTACTTTGTTTACAGAAACGTAAAGCTTGAAGGACCCATTTTAATTTTTATCTATCGACGGTTCGAGTCCTTGCTATACGTCCGATCTCTGAAGAAAAGCTAGTGTCTGAGTTTTCCTCGTTTTGAACAAGTCACGTAGACTCGGCACCAAATAGAGGAAAATAAGTTTTGTAGCCTACATAAAAAATAATTTTTAAAAAAGTCAATACACGAGTTTCAACTCAAAATAGAAGACGGCAAAGAATTAACAGGGTTAACAATGGTTCAAATTTTTAAAAGGAGAAAAAACATTATCGTCGCGCAACATGCTCTTCAGAGTTCAAGGTAAAATACATTTTCCCACAGCTGTTCGATGCTCCGGACCAGACGTCTCTCGTCTCTGCGTAGCTTCTTGCGGAGATGGTTACTACCGAGTACCCGGCACCAATCGGTGTGAGCTCTGCTCCCCTGATTGCCTGACGTGTACCGACCACGCGGAGCACTGCCTGTCCTGTGAGGCCCCACGATTCCTGACGGAGGGCCGTTGCGTCCTCAACTGTGGCACTGGGAGGCACGGGAACACCCTGAGCCGCACCTGCGAGTCCTGCCACGACAACTGCAATAACTGCTTCGACGGGCCCATCAACTCCGTCTGCTCCAGTTGCAAAGATCACCTCTACCTGGATGGTGGAATTTGTGTCGAGTCTTGCGATCCTAAACTATCGAAGAACTTGGCTATTAGGTTGGTTGGAGGAGTGACGGCCTATGAAGGACGTGTGGAGGTAAAGTGTACCTATTTCTACTTTTGTTTACACAATGAACGCAACTTCCAAACACAACTACTAACTTTTCCCTTCCCGACGACTGTTTCACGTCATGATATGCGTCGTGCACGAAATATAGTCCAAATCTCGTTCTAAGCGGAAATCAAGATGGCGGGCTGCGTATGCAGTTCTGGTAGGCTCGTCGTTCGATTGTAGCAACTTGGTACATGTAATGTAAGCAACAACACTTTAAACGTGTTTGCCGAGTAAATCTCGGCTTCCTTTATAATTGGATTAGGCCTAGGCCTAACGTTACCTCACTGCTGATGTCAAGTCATGCCAAATATTGAAGTAGGCCAAATGGAAACTAACGAAAAGTTAGGACTACATGCATGTGTACACGCATGGCATGCGTACGCACAAGTTCCGTTAGGATCCTCCGGTCTAGACCCATAAACAGGGCCCAACGAAGTATATGACGGAGGAGTATTCGTTGGGCCCTGTTTACGGGTCTACCTCCGGTCATGCCGGTCCAGGGATGTTAGGATCTGAGGCGCAGGATATTGTCATGGATATTGTCATGGAAATAATACATAATATATTTATAATAATATATATAGAGTAATATATTAAAAGTAGATCATTTTGTTAAACTTCACATTCTCACTCACATTTCATACCCCAGGTACAATGTACCATGTTTTATTCCTTCCTGCATGTATCAAGGCCTAGGGCCTGAAGGCATTATTGAAAATGATTTCCCACTTGTACAAAGCATCGTTGAACGCATGGTTGGATATACATGTACATGATGTAGGCCTACCTGTACATAGCCTTTTGTAGGCCTACCATATTTTCCTACTTGCAACACAGAAAAACCTTTTCCTGTGAAAGTGTTCACCAACTTTTGGGATAATCATCGTTTTGCACATTTGATTTTATATCTTATGATCTTTCAGTCCTTTTCCATTCATCTCTGGCCAATTCAAAAAAATCACCTGGTGATATGTGTAATTTAAGTCCAGTTAACATTGATGTAGGAATCCATAACAATGAAAGGATGGTTTTGTACTCTTTAGGTTAGAAGGAAAAACTTGAAACTGCCTGCAGTGGGTCTCAAGCCTGGGTCCTTGTGTTCTGCTAGGGGGAGGGGGCAGGGCCATGTACTTGTTACTGAAAACCTCTTAGCCATGCGCTCACATGGTCACGGTTGATAAATTTGATGTAGGCTTTCCCTGCAATTTCAGCAAAAAGTGTGCATTTTTAGGTCATGGATGCCTTTCAGTCTTGTTCATGCCGGGGTTTCTTTTTCACACCAACCGGTTCATGTACCGTACATGTACATGTGTACCTGTGTTACATTCAGCTTCATTTTCTTGCAAGCCAATTGCAGGTTTTAGTCATTCTATGTGCGTTTTGTTATTTGTGTTTTTAAATGTAGCATTCAAGTGCCTCCATATTCACCAGTAAGTTAAATTTGTCCAACATTAACAGATTGGCTGAAATCAAGTTTAACCCTAACCCTCCTCAATCCTTCACCTGTTGGAGGACTGAGGAAGGTTAGGGTTAAGATTCATTGAAGCGCCAAGGATTTTGAAATCTTGTGGTACATATATTTCAGTTTTCATTTAAAGTCACTCTACTTCAAACTTGAAGTGTTCATTTAAAATGCAACAATCGCTTTGAGTACATGTAGGTACCTGTACATGTCCGCGTATGTGGTTTGCACGTCTTTTATCATAAATGCTCTTTAACTCTCTATAGGGACAGGATTGATGATGTACATGAACTTACTGCTGCAAGCACTGCTTTACTTATAAAAATCCTTTATATCCTGGCCAGTGTTGTACATGTACATGTACCGGTAGCTAAGCCAGTCGGCACCATTCAGGATGTTCAGGGATCTCCTCCACAGCGTTCTACCGTCCAGCACTAAGCTTGATGAAACAGCCCACCGACCAGCACAAAAATCCTTGAAAATCCCAGAAAAAAAAACATTAGTCACTACGAAAATTTTTACCCGGAAGAAATTTAAAAAAATTGAACTCTTTTATAATCAATTTGAAAACTCAACTGAAAAAGTGATCTAGAGTCCCCTTAAGCAGGCCCCTAGACCCCCCCCGGCCATGACCCGCGAGACTCCTGTGGCTTCGCTTCCTGTCTTCGCCCTTACTAAATTGTCCTGCACTAAAATGCGGCTGGATGTAACACTGTTTTCTGTAAACAGTTTAATTCAGTTGAAATTGATGCAGGACTTTTTTTGTGATACGCGTCTTCTTTACATGTGGTTATTTCTTATCAATCTGTTGTTACAATTCCAAACGGGAAGTTGAAACAAAAATCATGAAAATGGAAATGTACCAGTACGTGTGAGGAAAATCAGGACTGTCGTTTTACTTGTAACATGAAAGCAAGTTTGGTTTTTTATTTCCCTGTGCATTATATTGTTTATGTTTTCCGCTTTCCTTTCCTGCAAAGTACATGTACAGGTACACTCTGATCTGAAAGCATTTTGCCAAAAGTAACCACATACTTGAATCAAAACGAGGTTCATCCGTCCCTTATTATTCACACGCTTGTATCAAGTTTTGCTTTCCTTCAAAATGACTGTGATTATATCTAAAGTGTAAGAAATTAGAGTCCAAATGCACGATACATGTATGCCAGTGCCATGTAGACCAATGTGAATGGAGGAAGATGGAGATCGTTTGCTGGTTGTTTAAATTGAATTCTTCAGCAATCTCTTTCCCAGGCTTCCGACACATTTGAATAAAATGACAGGACTAAATCAGGCATGCAGTGTCTCCTTTGATCAGCATATTTCCTCATGTTTCGCTTCACACTCACTCAATTGAAAAATTGAAACACACAAACACTTCTTGTATTAACCCTAACCCCCTACGGTGTATGTAAAATCGTATGGAAATTGGGGGATTTGGGACTGTTAGGGTTAAAGATTGGAATTCCCTCGTTTTTTTTCTCAACGTCCATGTAGCATGTCTGACTATTCAAATCAACTTATTTAATGTATGACTGACTCAAAAACATACAGTGACAGAATCCAATGGTGTTCTTTGCTGTTTGGATAGAGACCGGAAGATTCAATTAAACAAGAATTTGAATCTAGGCCTCACATTTTCGTGATTTCGTCTGTTACTTTTTTTGCTGAAATTGCCTGGGAAAATACCGGCAGTTGAAAAAATGTGCCCTTTTTGCTTTCAGTGGGCCTCCTTGTAAAAAAAAAAAAAGTTTGCACCCCCGTGGTACATGTATATGTACCTCCTTAGAAACTTCTCCTCACATGTCACGCTGCTGATGACATCCAGTAGAAAAAAAACTAAGTTCTGGTTTTCACAAGAGTTGTGTAATAGGGCTGAGTCACTTCGAATAATTCACTATTCAAATATTTGACCTTAAATTTTATCAAATACATGTATTTCGTCGTACCGACCGGCTGATTGTTGACCGTATGCAAAATCAGTCACAAGAATGTATACAGTTGTACATTATAATCAATATAATACCGGGTAGCTTCTTACATGTACATGTACAACTGGGAGTATCTTCAGCCACGATTTAGCAAGATTTAAGAGATGAACAATACTTCTTGCCCTGTTGAAAATTTCTATTCCTTTTAAATTGTTTAATAAATAATTTACTTTTTGAATTTCAAGATTTCTGTCGCTTTTCATTTGAGTCTGCTTGAAACAAGCCTCCATAGCCCAAGTTTTCCCATTTAAAACAAAGCTGAGCAAGTTTACCTTATACTTCAGTACACGTACCGTAAAACAAAAAGAGCCACATGGACCGGAGTTCAGAAAATGTGTTCCCCGTCTTGGAACAAACTGCTTTGATTTAGAAAGATAAAAGAATTGCCTTCGCCATTTTTTTCTCCCAACCTGGAGGAGAGACTTTTTTGCTTACTCGGCTTTCAGTTATCAGACATGGGTGTGCCATAAACCATAAATCATAAACCACGGAATGTTTTTTTTAGAAAGGGTGCACTTGTTTGTTTGCCGCAGGTGTACATTGATGGGGAGTGGGGCACGGTGTGTGATGATGAATGGGACATCAATGATGCCCTAGTGGTTTGCAGGGAGCTGGGATATGGCTCTGCCACAGCCGCTGTGTCTGCACCTGGCTATGGACGGGGCACAGGTTAGTAATATACCCTTTCATAGTGTAGGGGAGGTTTCAAAGGAATGTTATACGCTTACTGCTACCGGTAACACTGTGTTCTGTATAGGGATCCGGATCGGGATCGCAATCAGTGATCCGGATCCCTGTGGAACCAAGAGGGCCACAGTTTACTTCTGTCGTGAAATTGGTCAAGATGAGAACAGGGGTGTGCATCCCTTTCAAAAGTGACCAAACCATTGAAGCTTTGGACCCTCCATGAAAGGTTACGTAGTGAAGTACGGCAGATAATAGTGGGCAGTATTTGCACCTCAAAAACAATTTCGGCCCACCCAAAAGTTTGGTTCCTGATCCACCTTTGAACAGGTCCTGTTGTACTGAACCACGTCCGCTGCGATGGCAGTGAAGCTGAACTGGTCCATTGCCCGCAAAGCCAATGGCGGGACAACCAGTGCAGACACACGGAAGACGCTGGTGTACGCTGTGAAGGAGCGTCAGGCACCGGTAAGTGCAACCTGTAGAAAAAATCCGGTTTTGAATTGAATCCGGCATGTCTACATGGTACATGTATTCCTTGAGAAACAGTGAAAGTTCTGACCAGTTCCTTGCCATGTTGTGACATTCATACAAATTTGTAGCTGTACAGTTCTGTGAAGTATTATCGTTTTCATGATACATGTACCCTCTGAGAAGGAGGGGCTTCTCAGTTTTACAAGTTACTGATGGCTCTCGACCCAAAAAACCAAATCTATTTAAACTGAATGCACAGATTTCAAATTTTACAATTCCAAACTTGTTGATTTCAGAGTCACAGAGTACTTTACATACATGTCAGCACCTTGTGAAGATGCCATTCGCAATGGTCCCCTTATCTGCTTTGTTACCCGGTAGCTCTTGCACACTTTACATTGTATCATGAGCGCCTTGTGGCAAATGGCGATGACTCCAAGTTTGGATCTTCCAGTTCCAATCATTTCATTGTCACTGTCTCATTGGGATTTTGATTGAAACAGTTTACATCACTGCTTGAGCTCTAAGTCACCATTGAAACCCACCCTCGAGCTCAGGGAAACTCGGAAAGCAGGACTAAAAATGTGAAAAACAAGATAGGAGGAGTACATACATATTTTAATGTTTAAAATGAAGCACATCCATGAAGGGTTTGTACCAAATGTGTAATTAGCACATGTACCTCGGGTTCAGAATTGGGATCTTTTGCATTTGCCCCTAAACCTTTTCTTGAAAGGGTTTTTTTCTAATGAAATGTAGACACCCGTGTAAAATGTACTGCATGTGTATAAACCCCCTTTAGAAAAGGGTGAACAATTATCCCTCAAACCCCTCCCCCCGAAAGAAAGAGGTAAACTCCCAAATATGCACAGAATACAAAAGCTGGTCACCACTGCCCAGCTGCCTCTGAAGTATTGAACGTGATCAGTGGATCAAGAAAGACGGTGCAGTTGGAAACAGCTGTGCCGCGGTTGTAGTTTAAAACGGCAGGAGGCCATTCAGTGTTTGTACGGCAGGTATGTGTGCATGTATATATCAGCGGTAACCTCACCATGAACTTGCCGTGAACTCGCCAGCTTCCTGTCCTGGGCTGTTTGTAAATAAAGTAGAGCAAGTGAAGCTATATGTAGCAACAGGGCGTAGGTGGCGCAAAGCTTCAATCTAAATATTGATGCCGTGGTCGTTCTCATGGCCGATTGAACTTTATCAATAAAAGCAGTCAAGTGATGGGAACACAGAGAAAATTATTCCCGCGGCATGTACAGTTAACGTATTTAGAACAGCTTTAACCCTACTAATAGTCCTCAATCCTCCAATTTGAATGGGATGTTACATAAATAGGGGAATAGATTTAATGTTCTTTCCCACATACAGTATAAGGGTACATGTATGATGTAGTAGGCATATCTACGGTATTCGGGCCCAACAGAAGTATTTGATTAAAGAGACCAATGAAACGAGAAAAAAAAATCATAATTCTCTATTTTTGCTATCGTATGTTTGCCCAAATTTACAATGCACATGTAAGTTAAGACGTTTCTTAACATTTGAAAAAGTTTCAGCTTTTTGAGTAAACGAAGTTTCGTGAAGCATTTTAACAGATTTTTTCCAAAAGTTTCCAAATTCATGCAGGGTTGGGGGAGTCAGGGACTCAGTCATTTGTTTCTATATATCGAGTTCTTATTGACCTTAAGTGATGTCCGGTGCGAGTTTGTTAACCAGAATTTCCGTAATATTTGACAAATTTTCTGTATACTGTAATTCCAAATTTTAAAATCAATGTGATAAAGTGTGAAGTTTTTATTGTGCTCGCCCATGTATACACGAACATGGACATACTCACCTTCATTATACATACATGTAGTAAAGATAGATGTAAATGACGGTTGACTGAATAGTAAATGCTGAACTTAAAATGTTTTAAAGCTAAACTTACATGTACAGTGTATACAGGCTCAGGTGTGCAACTTATAGGTACCCTGCAGCACCAATGACTGCCACGGTGCATGTAAAAGGACACATCTAAGCAATCACGCTGATCATTTTTATTCAGGCCCGCCCCCCGCCCCCCACCCCTTTCCAGTGACAAGTTCCACTCAGCAACAAAAACAACTTCTGAAAAACAATCAGCATTTGATGACCACCCTCCCCCCCCCCAGAAATCTCGTCTTCATTTCAAGTTGTAAACACTTCAAGCAAATTGGATTCAAAGGGTCGGAAGAAAGTGGCTGGGAAATGCCTGAGATTGCACCACTGGCCATCTACTTGTAGAAGCCCAACTTATCCAGAGGTCCCATGTTGCCACCTGTGCAATCTTCATGCACAAATCCTTCCCCCCCCCCCCCAGAGTTGCTGAACTTAAGGTTACATTGTAGAGCGCTGTGAGAAATAAACTTGTACTGAATGCCCGCGGTGTGAGAATTCAGCTTGTTAGCCGATTTCAGGTTTTTTTTGTTCAGATGTTGACCCTGAATTTCAGCTTTTTTGTACACCTGGTCTGTCCTAGTGTGGGAACTTTTGACATCTCAGTTTTTTGCTACATGTAGCTGTTGTTAGCTTTGATTTTTAAGTGGCCACTCACACCCCTGTAGTGTACTGATGGGGCCTACACTGTCCATGTACATGTACCAGCACTCCTTGTTAGCAGTTCAGGTGCAGCAGTAGGCATAGATGTAGATGTACATGCATACATGTAGAAACTTGATAAAGTTGTTCTGCATTTCTCCCGCCCCTCCCCCTTCTGTCTGCCTCACCCCACCCAACTCCTTCCTGTTTCTTGCATGCTGTGGTGCCTGCTGAATTCCTCCCGTTACCATGGTGACTGTATCCTCCCCGGTAACATCCTGCAGCCACTAATTGGGGCAGCCTGGTATCCACCCTCACCCATCCCGGTAAGTGCTTGTAAGGCGGCATCTCCAAACTTAGCAAATGCTGGGGCAAAGGTCCCCCGAGAATGTACAGTACTCCCTGTTTCAAATGTGGAGCTGTAGCCTATAGCTGAGTCCTTTTGCATAAGTAGGTACGTGTACGTGTACATGTATGTGTACTGGCTGAGGACACCATACATGGTCGCATTTGAATACTTTACCTTTACTGGTACATGAAGGCAGAAAAGCAAACAGATTTAGCGTCTGAGTCTTCAGGCTTTAGAAAATGGTTTGGACTCTGAGTAGTCAGGGGAAAAAATGTGTTTTTTCTATTTTTTCTGGAAGTAGAGCGCTTCTTAGGCATGCCTGACGCTGCCCGCCAGTGGTATTCTTTTTTACGTTGTTCTGTACATTCGCTACTTGGGCTTCATTTCTGCTGCACACCTTAATACAACTCTACCTGTTTTGCTTGGGGGGTTTGTAAAGGACTCGGCCGCAGCTTTGCATGTAAATTAGACAGTGTGCATTCCCCCAGGGAATAACCTTCTTAGTGCATGGACTGACTTCAAAATGCCATTTGGGAACACGTTGGAAATATCGAGTGCCGCTAGTAGGACGAATAGTGATTTTTACTCACAGACGTCTCTTGTGGTAAACATTGTGTTTTTTGGGTTTTTTTGGCCGGGTTCATACTGCAACATAAGCAACAGGGAATTTGTGGGCAGTGATGAAGCAAAGTGAGGATTAGAGGAGGTTTTCATCTCCGAACCCCTCCATCAAAACATTCTCTTGATAGGGATTAGAGAACGAATCCTATGGAATGCCTGCATGAGTCCTTTTGTACTGATATGTTGATGGATGAAAGCAAAGTGCAGGTATTGAGGTAAGAAAAAGTGGAAGCGCATGTACACCGTAGACGGCCGGCTTTTTTGTCTGAGAAACTACAAAGCTAGGACAGCACTCCTGCTGCAGCTGTCCGTGGAAAGATCTTGCTCCTCTACGCCATGCACCTGTTTCCAAAACTTTAGTGGGAGTAGTAGGCTCCAGTTAGCACAATGAGGACTTCTTTGCAGGCATGTTTGGGTCACCAATTTTGGTTTGTCTAAAGAGGGTAGTTATTTCTTGTTTAGAAATGATGTTTCCTTTTCAGTTTTCCTGGTATCTTTGCTTCATTTTTCTGCACTTACTGAGCATCGCCAGAGGTTAACCCTAACAGTCCTCAATCCTCCAACAGGTGAAGGATTGAGGAGTGTTAGGTTTAAGAAACAATTGAAAAAAAAATGAAATACCCCAAAAGTTCACAAAATGAAGTTTGTCTGATTTGGGTCTACTTGTACATGTATGGCGTTTGTGTGACAAGTGAGTTTCTTCAGTAATACTCCCTGAAACAAACCCTGAACTGATCTGATGGAGAGCATTTGGGAAACTCCTTGGTGCAGATGCATGGTGCACTCCTTGGTGCAGATGCATGGTATACATGTATGTACAGTAAAGATTGCCCTCATCTGTATAAAAACTGCCCATACATGTACCACAGGACAATTGATGTTTAATTTTTCCAGTCAGGAAATATGGTAACAGTGTGAAAGTACATGTACATGTATGTACCTTCGATTTATGTAGCAATGACTTTTTTTCACTGTCGGGCACAAAAACTGTCAAGTATTAGGACCAGTTTTTACAGACAGGAAGCATGTGTCCCAACTATTGTAATCTGCGTAACTTCATATTAAGCCATAGTGCGCCTGAAATGGAAAAAAAAAATTACAGTGTAACTCTTGCATAAGTTTAATATTATTGTGTCAAAATAATAAAACCCATTAAGTTCATGTGCATGTACATGTAATGCATGCACCAGTGGGTACATCTACATGTAAGTGTCATTCACTGTACATGTACAAGTAAAAAAAATTCCAATTCCCAACGGTTCAACAATTCTGAAATACAGATTAAAATGTGCTAATAAACAGTTCTCTTTAAAATCCAGAAAAGCAATGTACTAGTACAACCCAATATGACCATGCAAAAATACTTCATTGAGTCAGATGAAAGGTTTGAAAATGAAATTTCTCTATCGTGCCGAATTTGAAATGTGCTGAAAATCAGCTGGGTCAGATGTTTGCAAACACTGTACACTCATCTTGTCTGTAACTTCCCATGAAGCCCCGTGGTAACTTCAAAGCTTCAGTCAATAGAGGCTTTGCATGGTAGGTATCTTGTAGGGCAGTTCTCTTGTTCCTCAGGGAAACCTTGTTTGTGTTATCGGTACCTTGCAAAACAAAAGTGTTGACCTGCAAGATGGCAGCCATGCAAACCCTGTATTTCAGAATCTAGTGTATTCTCCACTGATGAAGCCCTTTATGGTGCAAAGTCCAGTGGAAGGTTGTATTAAGCCATAATGTTGGAACTCTTTTTGGAACTGATGCCCTGTACGTGTACTGGCAGACTATCCAGGTCTTGCTCATCAGCCTTGCGAAATGCTAAATCCATCCCTTCCTGAACAACCATTTCCCCCAGACTATCAACTTAGATCCGTTAAAAACGCTAAGCACCCCTGCTTAGGACTTTCTATGCACCATGCTTCAGCCTTGCCAGCATGTGGGGTTTATCGTCTATTGATCCACGATCAGCGTCTTTTCCATGCTAATCCTTTGGGAAGGTTAAAAAGCCAACAACCTCAAGTGCCCTCTGCGAGGAGGCAGTGAGCCTTGTTCAATTGTTGCCTTTGTTGCGGGAGCAAACTTAATGTTCACAGCATTAAATACCCAGCGCTGGTTGCACTGGCCGAAAGGGTTGCGACAAATACCGGTGGCAACCATTGTTACCCAACACCTCAGTTGACAAAAGGGTCACTTTGGGGTTTTTTTTTTCAACCTGTGGAATCTGAAGAGCTCTTGGAAAAGCAGCCGTACAAGTAAGATAATTGGAGGATTAAAAGTATTGGGCAGGTTTTCATCTGTTCATTGTATTTGGGGGACAGGTTGATTGGCATGTGTGCATACCAGGTTGTACATACATGTATGTACGCATATCGGATTGGATTTATTCAACTTTAGGCCTACATGTACCTCACAATGAGGTACGTGTAATATCAGGGATAGCCCATGAAAGGTTTGAAACTTAACGTATTCCCAACGGGGTCCCTATTGAGTTACCGGTAGGAAGAAGGTCCAGTTTTAGAGGCAGGAGGAAACCGGAGTACTCGGAGAAAACCTTCGAGAGCGAGTATGGACTGGAAACCAAATGCACTTACATGTAAAGCCTGGGCCAAGCTGGGACTCGAACCTGGGCCTCATTGGGTACAAAGTGAGGAAAGAACCGCTAGGCTAACCTGCTCCCCAATATATGTATTATATATTGTACATGTATCCATATATACTCTGTACATGTACATTACATAGAGTGTACATGTACATGTATCCCTTAAGTCTCGTACATGTTGAGTCTGGATTTAAATGACTACTCATTGCACCCACAACTTCCACCCGTTGTTCTTGAAAGTAACACTTTCCGTGACTTTTTTTTTTCTTTTGTCGTTCAAAACAATCAGCAACCCTTTTCTTACTCTCCTGCCCCTTCAAGGATTTAAGTGTAATACCGGTAGATTAAGCATTTAAATCGTTCATGGAAACACCTTACTGTGATGATTTGTGAAAATTGTGAAAATTTGTGAAAATTTCCATTCTGACTAGTGTAATTGGACATGTGCGTTCCAGTACGTATGCAGGAATACACTTTAAATCCTATCTGCTCGTAATCCTGCAAACTTCAACTCTAGGTTTTCCAGTACCGTATTTTGATTGGTTGAGGCAGCAATGCATCGTACAGTGTACGTGTAGATTTCAATGCAAGGCATGTCTCATTTGGTTACAAGGTACATGTACGGTACAGTGTTAAGATTTCTTTACCTGTATAAACAAATGTAAGTTGGATATCTCTCAATGGCCAAACACATTTTCTCCTGACATGAGGGTTGTTGCACTGCACGTTCGTATAAATGGGCCCTTGCGTGACCATTTCTCTAGATTTCTTGATCCCCATATTGTAACTTTACACGATACGCTTGTACGTAATTCTCTAGTTGAAAACTTCTTTTTGTTGGAGTCTGATGCCCTGTCAGAGTGAGCGTATTTCATACCAATCTTGCACTGCAGGAGCCACCGGCCGTTGTGTGGACTCCTGTGGCTTAGGCTACTACTTGCCCGCCAGCAGCAACTATGACTGTGCCACGTGCTCCTCAGAGTGCCTCAGCTGCGCGATTGCCGCTGACCAGTGCACCAGCTGCAAACCCTCCAAGTTCCTCAAGGTATGTAATGTGTCGAGAAACCAGCCAATTTTCCCGTACATGTAGATCGGGGACATACCGGCCGGGGGGGGGGGGGCAGCCTCGTTTAAAGAGTTTGGTACCCAGCACCCAGGTACAATGAAAGCTGCCGTGCTGAAGTTGGACAGTCCACTGTGCAGCTTTGCTCCATCCCGATTTCTCACCAGGTTTCTCGTGAACGTGAGTGTGCATGTACATGTACCTAGGCATCGTGGATGTGTACAAAGTGGCAGCCTGGCAAACTCCCATGCAGTACATGTACACGTATGTATCTACGTAACGCATAGGGCTTCATTTCAAAGTGAGACATACACCATTCAAAAATTGAGCAATGTTTCCGCAGTTGTTGAATGTGAATTTACAAATAAAAAGAGAGTACCAGGTGTCTACAAATTAGACCCGCTCTTCAAAAAAGGGTATTAAGTCGCGCGTTGCCTAAACACTCAATGGCCTGTCCTATTTGGAGAGGGCAAAATTTCTTCATAAAATGTAG